TGTATTGCACTGTGTATTTTTCTATCCAAGTATGCTTTTAGTGCATTGGCAGTGTGTTTGGGATCGATGTCATCTGTATCTGCAGAGCTACAGTTCTGTCAATTGTACCTTTATTAGAAGCTGGCTTTAGCACTGCCATTCAATATTTATGGATGAGTACTAAAAGTTTAATTACCGCACAAAGAAAACATACAAAATCACTTGTGGTTCCCTGCAAAAAGGCTGAGAACAAGTGTTTGACTCACCAGAGCAGGAGCGTTGACCACAGAGAGGTTGTAGCCATAAAGGAAAGATGAGCCCAGGGAGCCAAAGAAGGCGGCACACAACAGGCAGGCTGTAAGTGACTGCTAACGAGAGAGCACACATGAACACATTATGCTAGTCATGCAGTCCTTTCCACATTGGTGTTGATCAATGCCAAGGTCAAGGGAATTCAACCCTGGGTGAGTTGTGTTACTCTGGGCATCAATGCTAAGAAAACAGCTTCTTAAATCCATGCTTTGTTTTTATTTTGTCAATTGTTTCATTTTAGCGCAAAGTCAACACTGTGTGAAATATATTTCTCATGACAACGTGATATATTATTACTGAAAATGACAAAAGAGGATGGGAATAGGAAATAAACCATATCAAGGCTAAAACTGTGATGACCTGAAAGAAGCTCATTAAAACCTTCAATACAAAAGAGAAGGATAGAAATTCAATAAATGCAATAAAGGGGTTAAAATCATAAAGGTTTGCCCTCAGTGTAGCACATGATGAAAGGAGATAACATCATTAAATTGAAACCATTTTCCATTAGAAGAAGAAACTTGATTAGCAGATTGTATTGCATACTTACTTTATGAGTATCCTCTTGGCAAGGTGCTACGCTCTCCATCAGAAGGTTATGCAAAATATTAAGTAAACGAGTTATAGAGTTTCTATTGTGTATAGGTTTACGGGAGAGAAAGGGTTAAATAATGACCAGGAATGTTAGGAATCATCCTCGGGGGACTATACTGGGGTAATCTAGGTGTTTGCTATTACATGTTGCTATAAACCACTGGAGAAGTCTAGTGGCAACAGCAGAGGCACTGAAGAGACAACAACAACACAACCTCCAAAAAGGGAACGACTTTATACTTGGTAACAATCATCTATGGCTCTCTCTTTATCCTTATTAGGTGATTTATCTCTTTCTTCTCTTTGCTTTTTGTTAGTGTCTTGAAACCGTTCCGGCAGCCTGGGTTGCACAAGAAGTCCAGCTCCTCAAGGATGACACATTTATACATGCCACTGCAAGATGTTTGCCGTGTCTCACAGAACAGTCTCAAAAATGTAAAGGAGATCCCAGGAGACGGGTCGTGGAACCGTGGAACCATCATCAGCACAGCACCAGGATCTGCTCCTCTGTGTAGTAGGAACAGAAGAAGCACTGCCAGAATACCACAAAAAGACCTCCAGTGGGCTACTTCTGCATGTTTCTGACCAAATTATGATAATCAGAGTCCTTGAGCATGACATGAGGGCCTGACTTCCTGTAATGAGGCCTGTGTTCAAACTAGTGTCATTCAGCTTGATTGGCATTTGCCAGAGAAACCCCAGAACTGGCAGGTCTGCCATTAGCACCCTGTTCTATTCACAGATGACAACGGGCTCACATTGAGCAGATGTGACAGATGGGAAAGAGTCTGGAGATGGCGTACCAATCATTATGCTACCTGCAATATCATTTAACTTGAGTGATCAAAGTAAGCATAACCTTGGAGGATCACACAGATCTCCATGTGTTAGTACCAGTACCCTGACAGCTGTTATGCATGGGGATGAAAAGCTCAGATTCACCGTCCGGCCTTACGCTGGTACAATGAGTCCTGGGTTGTCCTAATTCAAGACAATTTCCAGCCGACTGTGGCCAGAGTGTACAGGTTACTGGTTGATTAACGCACTGATACCACTGACTGGCTCTCACTTTCCCAAGACCTGAATCAAATTGGGAATCTCTGGAACAATCTGAGTCAGTGCATCCAAAGACACCAAATAGCTTCACAGAGTTCACTAACAGCCTTTTCCAGGTCTAACAGGAGGAGAACCCCAAGGACACCAGCTGTCATCTTATCAGGCTGTTGTTGGGAGTGTATACAGACAACATATGCACTAGTGAGCCACATATTATGACACAAGTTGTATCAGCATGTGTTTTCAATTTTTAACTCTGATTTTTGGTGTGTTTTCAAATGCAGTCGTCAAAGGTTTGACGATTTTTCATTTCCACTGACGAAACTTGTTGAGAATTTTTTCTCTAGAAGTAACACAATGTGTGCCAATCACTGTGTTCAACTTGAATATTTTATTCACCAAGATCCAGTGTGTGGTTTAAGTGCACATTTTGTAAGTGTAATTAATTTGTTTTATAGCAACAAACATATTTTAAAACATCATACAGCATTAAGTGAAGGATGATAAGCTTTTCTATGAAGTACCAACCTATACCTTGGACCAATAGACTGCAAAGACGAGCCAAAAAACTGAATGCACAGTATTGTTATCAAGGGGATAAGATGCAGCAGAGCTATGAGGAGCCAGTGATTAAAGCTGAAGAAAATGAGTAGTAGACTGTAGATAAAGCTTTAGGAGGAGGAAAGGAAGAAAAAGTTGTGATTCCAGCTCATAATGATAAGCTAAAGGGGTGGGGTGTGGGGAGAGGCGAGGGGAAGGATATTCTGGATATCATTTGAAATTACATTTGATCCACAATGCTATCTGAGAAAATGAAGTCAAAGTAAAGGAAACCACATCACAGTTAAAGGAGATGAAGCTGAAACAGAATACATAAGGCTACTGCGAGCCTTGAATACGCATGTATAAGTCATCCTTATATATTTTTAATAAAGAGTAAAATCTCAAGCAATCGCCTTAAAACCCAGGGAGTAGTGTCATATAGGGGAAATTGATATCTCATATTTTTAAAGGTTAAAAACTCACTGATAGTAGCATCTTTCCCACAGTCCCTTAAAAAATATGTCCCAGTGACGCTGAGAGTTGTTTTCACGTGTCTTTCCATGCATTTCCTTTGTTTGGTAATGGATTCTCTAGAGCCCCTTAAAGCTTAATCTTGCAAACTTTGAAACAGACATATGTGCGTGAGGGAGTTGTACTAAAAATGGAGCTGATGAGTTACTTCCAGGTACTTACAGCCTAAACTATGTTCTCAATCAGGGGCTCAGTGTGACAATCACTTTGTAGCATCTGTGAAGAGTTGGGCGCAAATTCCAACAAGACTAATTTTTTTTTATTTTCATAAATAAAACAATACACAAATGACAAAGTTTCCCCAAGTGGCTTTGAGACCTATACAGCATTTGACATCCACTGTCCTCAGTAACAAGCAAACACACAAATTTGTGCGATTTGAGTACTTGTCAGAAAATAAGAAAAATTAACACCCAGCAAAACATAAAAGAAAAGGACCAATTAAATTCTGTTTATCCTAAAGCACATTTCCATCCATCCAGTGTCTTCTGTTTATCCGATTAAGGCTCTCAGCTGTCATAGGGTGAAAAGCGGGGAACACCCTAGAAAGACTGCTGGTCCATTGTAGAGCTAACACAAAGACAAGAACCATTCACACTCACATCAACACCTACAGACAATTTAGAACTGCCAATGAACCTAATCCAATGTGGACTGTGGGAGGAAGCCAGAGTACCCAGGGAGAACCCACATACGCACAATGAGAATATGCAAACTCCCTCAAAGCTCACACAAATCTATGTATTTTAGACATAACACTGTTTCTGCAGAAGTGGACTGGCCAAAAAATAAGTAATGAAATATGCAGATCCACTGACAGATTTTATTGCAACATAATTTTAGTTTTTATCTGAAGAAGGTTACCACTAAAGCTGATGTCATTTTAGATCAAAAAGTGGGGTTCCAAGTTTCAGCAGCAGGTTTTAGGGGAAAAGCTTGAAATGTGTGTGTTTCAGTACATATTTACATATTTACATATTTACTGAGGTGCAGTATCTTCACAGCTGTGTAATGTCCACGGATAACATAACGGGTTAATGTATGACATAGTAGCCAAATAACAGGGAAACCAGAGGTCTATATAGTACTATTAGGACAGGGCTGTTCCTCCATAAAGCAAAGACATGATTGTCTATATTATAACATTTTTCATGCCAGAACAACACAAAGAAGTACGTAAGAATCAGTGCCTTAATCTGACTAACCTTCTTTTCAGAGTTGTTAGTGCTGTCATCTTGGTCAATCTGATCATCCTTTTGTTCGTCCATGTTCACGTGTCAGCGACCTTAAATGAGAAGGCCATGTTATATCACGTGAGATACGTTGTGTATATGGAAAGGAGACGGGACACATTTCACAACGAGGATGAGGAGGAACCGAAAACTAAGTGAAACGTGCTGAAAAGGAAATGACCTCTTTGACCTCTGGCTTGCAAAGAACATCTTTGCAAGCCAGAAAGCAAACTGGCTTCCTGGCTTACAAAAGTGTGAAATGTTACCCCCAGCTTGAAGTTTTGAGGGGATTTTACCCAGTTGCTCAACAACAGGGGGAATACTGGTCTTGATTTAAAGTACACTTTAATGTCATTTTCTACTGCTAGACCAGCTGACTGATCAAAGACTCAGTCTGCCACCTAGTGGTTACTAGAACAGCAGCAGGCAATCACTGGGCAGTGGAAAACTGGTAGGGTTAAATAAAAAATTACAGGAAGTTTTATCCACCACAGGTTACACGGTGGTGAAAGGGGAAGAAGGAGAACTGTACTTTTTATGAAGCTTTTTGGGGATTCTGAACAAACCAAAGACAAAACCAGAAAGAAGTAATTCATGCAGTACTGATAGGAGTTGATATTGTATAGCAGTCCTCTCTGACTTCAAGGTTAATTACATTTTGCATTCAGACAGTTTCTGAAAAGTAAATTAGTCTCTGACTGGATGCAAATGAAAGCCAGCAGGACTCTGAGTCACAGGGAGCAGGATCAAAACCCACAGCTGTGGATTGAATTCTTAAGAAGACATGTGACAAATCAGATTGTTCTTGTTTTACCTTCCTAATTTTACGCAAAGGATCACTGCAACTTTTTAATTAAATCAGCTGTATGATCAGGAGGTCAAATTAGAAGCTATAAAGTAATAAATGTGATTAATTTTATTGCCAGCCTGAGTGGATGATTTATGTTTTACGGTGTATTTCTTCAACAATAAATGGCTGTGAAGGCTAACGCTTGAAAGTTTCATCAGGCATAAGACAAAATTCATGAGGTGACTATATCTGCAATGGGAAATGTGCTCGTTCAAGCATCAAACGAGTCCGCCTTGTTTCAGAAGACGTTTTTAGTTGGTTGAAGCAGTTTATACAAGGACTTCAAACTGTTTGCTTTTTAATGATGTTCTGCAGTGTTGGAAGCCACCCAACAGATAACAAGCAAAAACATATCCACATAGTGACCCTTAGCAGTGTGACTGTTAGGGTGTTAGTCTGAGATTCTACACCATAACTCTCAATTAGTGCAGTGCTGTAGGTGAAACACCACCTCATCAAAGCAAAATCTTTCTCCAGCTTATAAAACCCAGACCCCATGTAGTGTTGAAAAGTGGCTTTCAAAGATATGCACCTTGCTCCACGATTTTGTATGTGGTACATCCTATACCCAGATAAAAAAAACAACTGTTGTCAATAAATAAAGTTATGCTGTCTTATATATAACAGAAAAGTGACTAAAAAGGGGACATGTGTAAGCCACTTTCTTTGCACAATAACACACAGCAATGTAGCAATCTAGCAAAGATGACTCGACAAGGACAACTTTACTGGACTTGTTCAGCTCTGTTAAACAAAGTTTGGTAAAACAACACAAGCCATGGTGTTGTGAATATAGTCAAAATATCAAAGCCCACCGTGGATACATGTAAGTCAGAAATGGTACAAAGTTTTTAACAAAAAGTATGACTGTGGGCATATACTTACCCAGCATTCAGGCAACGTATCCAGTGCATACAAAGAGAATACTCCCCAAACATTTCCCAGACAGTACGGTGATAACAGAACTGAGAAATGATTAACCTTGAGTTCTTCCCTCCCTCTCCATATCTGAGATCAGCCACACTGCAGATAAAAGAACAAATACGCTGCATGTGTATAAGCTGGTATTACTGCATAACTGAGACACACAGACGGCAATGACTGATCTCTCTACTGTCCTGTCTTAATAAGAGCATGAACAGTTTCATGAGGATGGTGATAACAATTTATTACGCTTGATTAACTTACAGAAAGAACTCTTCCTCAAAAAAGGGGGTGGGAGTTTAGATGAAACCCCTTTTTCTTCATTAAAAGGTGTATTAATCAGCAAGCTGCTCCACAGTATGAATCGATTTTAAATAAAGAATTTATGGGGAAGAACAAGGGCTGTGAAATACACAACAAATGCACAAACATACCGCCAACATTATATTCTACAGTAAATTCGACAACCGCGTAAAACACTGCACAACTGTATCGTGGCACAAGCAGCTTCATTTTTCATTTTGCTCCAGTGAAGCACAGGTGTACTCCAGGAACTGGTGGCATCACTCATAGATGTGATTACAGGTGTTTAAAGTCTGACTTCCAACTGCATCCACATGTTTGACACTTAGAAGTTCAAAGTTCAAAGCAGTGAAATTCAGGTCTTCGATCACTAAGTTCACTTCTCTGCATTCGAATCGGACACAGTCGGTAAAATGCGCCCAACTCCTGTACGCTGTGGGATAGCAGGTGCACTGGCTATTTTATATTTTTATTCAGCATTCAAATCACTAGTGAACCAATTGGGGGGTTTTCTCGTTTATTAGATAATTTGCTAGCTCCCCTGTGTCTCTTGCTTTTCTAGGTCAGTTTTGGGTACTTTAGATTTGGGTCTATTAAGTAGTTGGTTAGTTATGTTACATTGTTATCCTAGTTGGCATTACCGCTTGAGTTTAATCTGGTTTATTTGATCTCTTCTAAGGACCCAGAGCTACATCTGACTTCTTGCAAACTCTTTTTTTAATACTCATTGTATTAACCCTAACCCCCTAGTATATTCATATTCAGAATCTACTTATAAAGATTATAAAGCGATAATACTAAAAAGGCATTGTAAAAGCATGACTATATTGTGTCTCTTATTTGTCACATAGTACATTCAAGTCAAATAAGGATTTCAATATTATGCAACAGAAAGTCATAATTACAAGACACGAAATCGCTGTTACGAGCTCTCCTGATGAAACAAAAAGTTCTGATACACTAGGTCATAACTATAAGAATATGAGGTCACAATTAGGAGAAATAATTTTGTTTTTTGACATAAAGGTAATGATTCTATAAAAACAAAGAGACTTCTCCTCTTTCTTCCATAGCCCTAGGTCCCAGGGTCCGCATCCATACCTACAGCTAGTGACGCTTACATGTCTTTGGACTGTGGAGCAACTACAGGAAACGCACACCGGGAGAAGCTGAAGTCAAACAAAGTCCAAACAAATGAGAACCAGGAGATTCAAACCCGGAACACGCTGCAACTCAGTGAAACCATTTAAGTACCATCTATTATGTTTGGGGACAAGGAACATAAACCGCCTTCATTTCATGCATGGAAACACTGCAGTCAGACAACATAAAGATCCTGGAACTCACCATGAAATTTGGTATATAGTACATCCCATCCAGGCGCTGGAAATGCAAGGCCTGAACTCACAAATGTGCAAATACCATGCTGATAAGAGCTTGACTCTCGAAATATAAGAACAATGAAGTGTGGTCATCCGGCTTAACCACACACCACATTGTTCGGCCACATTCCTAGAACTCGTGTGAGAATGAGGAGCAAACCATTCACGGACACAATAATCCAAAGTGAACATTCAGATGAAAGTATTCCACAGAGACATGTCGGAGGCTAATGTGCTATCAAAAACAGGAACAACAATATTCCAATGCCCAAAAGAAAAAACTGATTTTGCAGGCAGAAAGAATCATGACATGCTGCAGTTTTATAGAGCACAACAACTTGGTGTTTAATCCCCCCCCAAAAAAAACCTCCTCGTGCAGCTTTTTCAATGGCTTCTTTATTCGCCCTCAACCTCACAGTAATTACATTTTTAAACAGCTTGTGACTACTATTTATAATGCAAACACGTGATTTTTTTTTGGGATTTTTTTTTTTTTACCAAAACTGCAAAGTACAGGCTCTACAGCAGCAGCACATGGCTGAAGGATTAAGCAACAACTCTTTCTTCTTTTTTATTTTTTTTTGCTTTGAAAACTGTCCTAAAGAAACATTTGGGTCAATAGCTGCCGTGGGGAAAAAAGATACTGCTGAGTAATGAAACTCGGGCTTGTAAGCTGAACACCCCCTTTGGGAGCGCTTTTCTCAGCTCGGGAGTCTAGGTAACACAAGTATTAGATTGCCTGGGGTGTGTGTGGACCTTTCAGGAGGGGAAAAATCCATAGACCGTGCGCGTCAAACCTCTGAATT